CTGAAATCTAAATAGCGATTGGAATAGTTAGTGAAATATCCTATCGAATACATTGTATATTGAAATCTTATAAATAGAATTATCAGAAGAAGATTCGTGAAAAATCATACACGACATTTTCAGGTCACCGAAGACTGTATGAAGATTAATGCTAAAAAAATATCATCTTTAAAAGAGATGTTGCTTAATTTCACGCTACTCTATCTTTAAAAAAAGTGATAAGCATTACAAAACCAGCACAATCCGTTGTTTTTTGTAGATAATCAATTTCGATTTGTGATGTTAATAAATTTTTAAGAGGAAGTTGTAGAGGATGTGATAATCTTTCTTTTTATTCAAAATTTTATACTCTTAAACATAATAGCCTTCTGAGACATGAAAATTACTGTGTTTAGTTTCTCGGAAATCTTCCGTCTGTAGTCAGTCTATGAAATTTTGGTATAGAATGATTTATAAAGAAAGAGTTTCATTAGTTATTGCTCTCGCTACTTATATACAAGTTAAATGTTTTATATCAAAAGGAAAAAGCATAAAACAATATGTTGTTCGTGTATTTTTAGTCAACCATTGCAGGAAAATATCTTAAATAGAATACGAAGACTTGAAAACCATATGCGACTAATTAGTAATCAAGTAATAATGAATTTGTTATAGTTGGATTTCTTTTTGCACTTATTTCATATAAAAAAATTTTCATTTAGCAAGCTATTATGTGCGATTATCTTGAACACTTGATGGGTGATTCAAAAACTAACAATGATGAACGTATCAAACAACGTGAACGACACCTTTTAGGTCCTGAATTATCATGTATGTTTATCATTATATAATTGTTCTTTTACTAATAATTTCTTTTTATAAAAAAAAAACATTGAAATAGTTCAGGAAATGAATCAAAATATTAATAAAGCACAACAAAGGTATCGACGAGAATCATTGTTTGATGATGATCGTGTTCATTGAAATCCTAACTATTGAGAAACAACAATGATGAAAGGTTAGTTTTTTTCTCTTTATCTCAGTAACACTTCTAAATGCTATAAATACTTGTATGGCTACAGCATATTTTAACTATAGTCCATATAACCAAAGCTTTATAGATTATTGAATGTGATTAACAGTCTTATTAAAGAGTAATTACTACTTGAGGAATCTTTCCTAAAGAACGTCGAAGTAGCAATCGGATTTTTTTTGGTGTTCTTTGGGAAATTTTCTAGTCAGAATTCTATAGTCGCGTTGAAGATTTGAGATGGTTGTTGTCTTTTTTTTGCATCTGGTAGTTAGTGTCACCTACATATTTTGCAGACAATTAGGATCCTAGCCTTCGAATTCTATCCTCCACTATAGAAAACAAAACTTGCAGAAAAGTGTGTTTGTTCTAATTTACTGCTTTTTATTGATAAAATAACAGTTAATTAATCAAAACATCAGACACACTAAATACACTGTCTTTTAATGAGCCGATAATAGAAAAAATAACTTGATGACGCTCTTCTCTCAGTCCACGTTTAACGGAACTTTTCAATTCATAAGATTTTGTTCATCTTGATATCCTTTATGGATGATTGCTACACAATGAACTAGTTTTTGGTGCTCATATATAGCCACATATCTTACTAAGTATTTATTATTGATCTTAAGTTATTAACTAATTTAGATGTAAACATTTCAAATCATCTTCTAATGATTACTGCATGCATCAATCGATTAGATTTTGATGAATGAACTCAAAAAAAAAACTTTCAAACATTGACTAATTTCTTTGATATATATGTAGGTATTGTCTTTCACGAGTGCATCAACGGACAACTGATGTCTAAATTCGTATTCAATGTAGAATTTCTTAGTATTTATTGAAGCTATTTTTTTATATTCATATTCTAAAAATAAATTATTATATTTGCGTGTTCTTTATTTGCTATCAATTTCAAATGTATATGATATCTAATCATGTTTTTCACTGCCTTAATTATTGTAAACTTCTTTGTAGAGGGTGTGGGTGTGGGTGTGGATGTGGATGGGTGTAGGTGTGGGTATGGGGTGGGTGTGTGGGTGTGAGTGTGGGTGGGTGTAGGTGTGTCTGGGTTTGGGGGTGCGGATATCGGGAAAGAAAATATCCACACACTCACACCCCACATCCATACTCACACTCACACCCATATCCACATCAACACCCATATCCAAAGCCACACTCACACCCACACCCCATACCCACACACCCACACCCCACATCCATACCCACATCCACACCCATATCCAAAGCAACACTCACATCCACACCCCACACCCACCCACACACCCATGTAGGCAGAAACATGATATTGACGCGCTAAAACAGTTCGTTTTTTTTCTTTTATTTCAAACGTGCTATAACTCGTAATTCCGAATATTTTTGACAGGGTACAACACATTCCAATGGAGAGCAATTTAGTACGTTGATAGAAACAATGCATTTAAACTAGGAAAGAATAGATACAACATAACCCATGTACCTTAATATTACAAGCAATATTAAAATAAGTCTTTACTAATAAGAGATACCTAGTAACATCCATTCGAAGAAAGTCGGAAGTTAAGGAGTATACAACAGTAGTGTAGTTTCATTTCCTTTCAGAGAATAAGCTCATGGCCATATAAATGTAAATAATCGAGTGGTAGCTTTCTAGCAATTTTTTTTGTTTCATTTTATTTCTCACATAATAAAAAAAAATTACAAGAAAACTATCTCAAATGTTAAGAATCTCATGCATTCGAAATTTAAAGTATCGGATCTTGTTTATTCACAAGAAGAATTTTTCACTATTTGAAAGCTAAAGTAAAATTTTAAATTTTGCCAGATTAAATATTGAACTAGAAAAAACGAAGTGCATATCATACACTATTTTTCTGTATAAGCACTATTCACGTAAATATATAGAACAATGAATCAAGTATCTACAATAGAAGTTTCTTTTGCGTTACTCCAAATATGTTTGGTAAGGCACTTTGATATTTAAAAAGTATATACATATATCATTTCGATGGCACAAATCAATAAGAGATCAAAATATTTCTATCAAAAGGAAGTTAATAAAAACACGACTGAACAATTTTTTAAGATTTTTATACATATCATGAATTATTCTTATGTTTACTATTTTTTTAGTAGTGACCTTTTTTGATCCAGATTTGACAGATTCATATTAAAGCTTGTTATGAATATATTTTTTCCTCAAGTAATTTGAAGTAAATTTTAATCGATGGGTACTTTTATTGTTAAAATGATATAGTATAATTATTTTAACAAGAATATAGATATAACTAAGACAGAGTGAGAGAAAATATGTGAATCTTCAGTAATTCTTGTGATCAAGATAATATTTGTGATTTTGAAAAACAGATTTTTGGACTTACTTGGCTTGGCTATTCTTGAGAAGATTAGCGCATGAAAAATAAATGCAAGCAGAGAACCGCGGAAATAAAAAACTGGAGCCCTATATGTATTATAGAATATTTAATTAAGAGTCTATTTTATAAACTTAGATGCTTGGTAATAAATAGAATGATATGTATCGATTAGATAAGGATCAATAGGAATTACTGAATAGTTTTGAGAGTTACTCTTTGTGTTGTAGTAACAATGAAACACAGAACGGAGAAGTTCGATGCTACTGGTTAGCACTATCATCAACACAATAGAAGAAATAGAAAGTTTTGTGAAAAGCTTTCGTTTTATTCAAGTTAAAACGCGTTATTACTAGAAAAGCATAACGGTAAACGAGTTTAGGCGATACATCTTTAGTTGCTCCTGAGTGATATATAAACATGCATTAAACGCATCAGCTGACTACAATTTGCCTATTAAATGCGTTTAAACCTCTTGATACAAGAATAAACCCGTTGTAACGCGATCAATCATTTGATTCATCATATCAATGAGTTATAATGTGGTCTTTCATTTTTCTGCTTAAAAACGTTGAAAAATTGTTTTAACGTTTTTCTTCCTGCATGAGTACTATTCTTATCGGACCATACTTGAATATCTGCACAGTTGTTAACTACAAAAGAATTACCCAAATCTAGAATGTCATGAAAATCGAAATACTTTGAAAATAGGTAAATATTATTTTCATCATAAAGTGTAATTCAACCATTCTCTTCAAGTAATTTATTACTTCAAAAGGTTTATTAATACCTTCATCATGTAACTGATATACAATTCATATTATAGTAATTCGTCAATCAAGATAAAACACAAATCGTGAATATTCGACAATCAACGAAAAATATGTGTGACTAAGACGAAATTAACAGTATATTCTTTAGAAACACAAGTACAAATTAGGGTGTGGGAGTGTGGGTATGAGGGTGTTGATGTCGGCGGGTTATCATTTTCTTTTTTAAACACTTACAGCCTCAGGATCAAAATTATCTTTTGCTTTTTTGCTATTGTAAGATGGGTCCGAGTCTTTTTTCAACTTTCCATTTATATTCGAACTCGAATTAGGCATCTATTCCAAACATTTAACGCTGTGATGAATCATTTTTTCAGGATTGAGAATCAAGGTTTTTTGAAAATTTCATCGAAGTCTACTTTTGAAAATTGAAGAGACACTTTTCTAGGTAAGGTAACTCAATGTGCTCTAGTCAATCGTAGAAAAAAATTGAAAACAAAATTTTGTCGAAATTTTGAATTGCGTGCACCTCAGCAATATAATGCAAGACAGGTAGAGAATGAAAAGCTCTTGCTCTTGAAGCAATCGGGTGTAAACAGGATGAATGAATGGCATTACTCCTTTCGGGGCTGATCTGTCGATTCAATCCACCTAGGACACATTGATCTGGACTGCGTATACATACAAAGGAGAAGTTATTCATCAATAATAATATCAATGTTTTACTGTTCTTTTTCCTTCATTCGTTTGTTGTCAATGAATTTCTCTGCTGCTTGATATTGCTTTTCATCGTAATACGTTTAATACAGAATTGCTTCTGATATTTTTCTCTTTTCTGCCCGTTGATTACCATATAAAAGCAGCAACAGGACGACAACAAATATCACAAATCTAGCTACGATAGGCACAATACTCCGTCTCTTATTTCTACTGTTCTTTCTGATTACAAACACAATGACTGATTCTGATGGTGGTTGTCTTGATGCTATTTGCCGTGTTTTTCGTGCTTGTTGTCTTCCTTGCGATATTATCTGTTGTAATGCTTGTGGTTTTGACCCTGATAATGGTGGTGGTTGTTGTGCTAGTTGTGGTGATTGTTGTCGTAATACTGTTGGTCGTTGTTGTTGTTGTCCTCCTAATTGAAAAAAATAAGTCAAGTATGTTTTGTTTATATAATGTTTAGATGATAACTCATGGAGAGAATATCCTTGTATTTGATTTCATTGTCCCAACATTCTTTTTTGTGCTTATCTCTTTGATTATTTGATGGTACTGAATTAATTCACTATTTTTTCTTTGTAGAAACTATGGCACAGACAATGCATCAAAATCGAACGTTCCTATCAAGTATCGTCGAACATCACCTAGTTAGTAGTTAGTTTTCTCTTTCACATTTTCATCTATTTTTCTACTTTATTTTTTGTATTTTTCGTAATTTGAAATTTTAATAAAATGTGTGCATCAGGGTTGTCAAGTGAACAACTTAAAAGTCAGAAATTCTTATTTTCAAAATCAGAAGAAAATCAGAATTGTTTGTCCAAAATCGGCAACTAATCAGAAATAGTAACTTTCTGCAAGCCAAGAGGTATCATGCTGACATACTTACACAAAATGTTTCACTTTTTTTTGTTTATCGACTCATATCTTATTTCGAAAAGTATTTCATAGTAAAGAAAGGCAATAGAAACATTATATAGCTTAGAGTAAAAGATCATGTACTGCAAGCCAAGACAATTGATCATAGTTGAATCAAATGACTGCTCTCACTGTCAACCCAGCTAATTAAAAATATGAGCTGCCAAGAGCGTACACAGACCGACATACACGAGTTTCAAGAAATTTACAGTTTGGTATGTGCCCACACTATGAAATTTCATCAACACTTCTTTTTCTTTGTTCGTCATGGTTGGATGGAGCACGACCATGTACATGCGAAAAAACAATATCAAACATATTAAAAAGCAAATTCGAAGAAGTCTAAGACAGCTTTTTTTAACTACAAGCGTAATGAACAAAAACTCTAATTGCTGTCAAATTACTTTTGAATATACGTAGTATTGTTTCTCCTTATGTAAATAGTCGCTTTCCGTTCAACTATCACAAAAAAAAACTTAAGATTGATGAAACTTCGTAGTGTGAGCATGTGACAAACTGTAAATATCTTGAAATTTAAACATCTCGATCTGTGTACATTATTGACAACTCATGTTTTAAACTAGTTGATCTGTGAGTGAGAGCATTCATTTGATTCGACTATGAACAATTGCCTTAATTTGAAGTTATATGACTTTCAATTATTACTTAATACAAAACAGCTAGCAAAAGACACCTATTGTCGGAATCTTTTACGAAGTTCAACACTCTGTTTACGAAACTATGCGCAAACAAATCATATATATATACTATGCAGATCAAAAAAATCTTACGAAAAATAATAAAGATTATAGAATATAAATTCCATATTATTGTTCAAGTTTTCCTTTGTTTGAAATTCCTTTCATAAATGTTTTGGAGCTAAAATATGTTTATAAAATCGTTGAAAGCAAAAAATTAGCATTCATTCTTAAGTTCAGCAACACAAAAATTCACTGATATATTAAAGCAATCGTCAGTCGTTGCAGAACTCAGAAACTACCAAAGATTAAGAAAGTAAAGAAGGCAGCGCAATACAGATCTATAATATGAATGAGTTATAGTCGTAATTAATTTCGCTAGTAAAGTCATCGTCTAAAAACGTTTGGAATCGACAACAAATCAGTAAAGAGTGACTAAAGCAGAAAAATCAGAAGGTCCGAAAAAAATCGTAAAAATGTTCAAGTTTCAGAAATTTTTCTAACTTTTCAGAAAATCAAGCAACCCTGATTTTAACTGTAAGTTTGGGTAAACATGAGTTCTGTTTAATTGGAAAAACACTAACCATGTAAATGTTGAGAAGGATAGAGCAAAGATAAGAGAACACACAAGAGCATACATATATGTAGATACATGTACATATAGAGTGACGCATAGAAGAGAGGGTGTGGGTGTGGATATAGAAGAGCACTTCACCCACACCCACCCACACCCCACATGCCCACGCCCCACACCCACACCCCACATGCCCACGCCCCACACCCACACCCTAGTTCCTTCGTGCAGTGTGCGTGTGAGTATGGATGTGATCAATTATACTACTTCCAGTTACATTCACCCTCACATCCCTACTCGTCTCTCGCCACCATTGATGTTTGTTCGCTGTAATTATTTTCATTCTGTCTTAACTATTTTATTACTGTCATGATATTTTTCCTCCTATTTTTCTTTTCTCTTTCTTCACTTTCTTTCACAGTTACTCTGCACGCCGTACTCGACAAACTAAATCATTCATAGTAAACTCAATTTTTTTCTCTAATCGATCTCTCAAAAATAATCGAAAAACTGAATGGCATATGAGTAGAGAATCATACTTCGTAATGGACATAATTTTAAATGTACATTTTTCAACGTAGCAGTCTTGACATCAAAGTATTGTTCCAAAAATTTGCTTTCGTTAATTATAGTGAATCGTAATATTACTGAATAATGTTTTCAGTTTCAATATAAAATAGTGTATAAGAAAGGGAATCGAATAGTAAATTTAATTCTGTCTTACAGTGAAATTTGAGAATTTTTTTCTGCCATAAGTCATTAATTTTTTAAATCAGTCTTTTACCATAGAAAATAAAATTTGAAATCTTAAATTTTTACTAATTAGTTAGAGAGTTGAATTTTCTGCATTGCCTGTACAGGTTGTTGTATCGAAAACGCACGTCCTTTATCAACTGTGTCAAATGTTTGATCTTGCATGCAAACATAAAGCGCCATATGCTGATTGTGTTCTATTTCTCGGTTAAACTGTATCTGTCAAATTCGTAAACATAGAATAAAGTCTTCTGAAAATAAAAGAATATATTTTCACTTTTAACATTCATTCGTTCGACAATTTTAGACAATGATACTTTATCTATAGATGCAGCCTCTCCCTCGTATAGTTGATGAAACCTTCTCTCTCTTGATTAAATTTATTCTCGCAGACGTCGTCGAGTGCTACAAAGAGGATCATTGCTTTGAGAATTCAGTTCTCCATATAACTACGTAGTTAGTATTGAGACTATTTGCATATTCTTTAGTTTTTAATATTATTATTCACCGTCGCCAGTACAATCCAAGTTTTCGATCTATGTTTCAATATCGAAATTCTTAAATCAGATAAGATAAAACGTTATAATCGTCTTAAAGACATGCCCATCACTTTATGTACATTGGTATGTATGGAATTTCGAAGTGCACTATGGAAGTTGATCATAGTATTCTGCAACTGCACTCTAGGAAAAATAAGTTTCATACGAAACCCCCCTCAAAAAAGGTTCGGTAGGTTTGAAAAAATGTCCAAATGACTCGAGCAGCTCAAAAAAGCTATTTTTCCATCCTACGAAACCTTTAAAGGTTCTTCCCCTCGATACACCGGAAGAACCTTTTTTATACGAAACCTTTTTAGGTTTCGTAGAGCAAAACAAGGTTTAGAAACGAAAATACGAAACCTTTAAAGGTTTATTGTAAAAAAGTTGTAAAACCATTGCAGAACGGTACCGAACCAGCTAGTTTCATATAAAACTGTAAAAGTTTCGTATTTTCGTTTCTAAACCTTGTTTTGCTCTACTGAACCTAAAAAGGTATCGTATAAAAAAGGTTCTTCCCTTGATACTAGGGAAGAACCTTTAAAGGTTTCGTAGAATGGAAAAATAGCTTTTTTGAGCTGCTCGAGTCACTTGGACACTTTTGCAAACCTACCGAACCTTTTTTGGGGGTTTCATATGAAACTTATTTTGTTTTTAGAGTGTGGGTTGAGTAAAAATTTATTGCGCATCCATAACCGACGTGCGCGTCAATAAAATTCAAACCTTTAATAATATATCAGTTTCGAGAATCATTTTTTGTTAAACAGGTAAACTCATCAAACAATTTGATCATGAATTATCAATGATTCTAGATTGTATAGCCGCTAGGAATCAAGTTTGGACGTGATTGTGCGTCTTTTTCACGTGTTCATACTCCAAATCGAAAATTGTATCTTATATCAGGCTGTTTTCGAGATTATGGTACTCTGCAATGCTTTCAAGTATTTGCGCTCTGTATTGATAGCAATGCATAGACGCTTAGTGAATTTTGAAAACTTTTCGTACATACATTTTCCCCATTTTCAGGGGTTCAATGACTCTGGGCAAGCGTCAGCATCCCTACTACCGTAACTGAATCCTGAACCTCTCGATTCTCGTTTTGTTTAGTAATCTTAGATGAATTGTTTTCTTGTTAATTTATGAAACTAAACGAATAAGATATATTGTAGTATGAATCAAAAATTTGGAAAATACATAAAATATTTATCATATTATTCAAATCTATTTTATTTTGAGGCCGGGTCGGGTCCGAAAAAACTGAGCCGGATCAGTTGTGGGTAACAAAAGTTGCGCCCTTACAGAACACTAGTTGATCAATGCAATAGCTACTCATCCATCTTTCTTCAGAATGGACTTTTGACGATTCTATCGAAACTACAACAAGAAAACAAGAATATTCTGAAGTACAGCAGCTGCTGTCTAATAATCACCGCACATTTATTGCGACCATAGTATTCTATTTCGCTTAGACACACTCTACGCCTTGTCTAATGCTCATCTTGAGACGATGGCATCTCATATACGTATAGGAATTATATTATTTTACAATACATCATTTTCATAGGTGTAGGTGTGCGCGTTGTTGTTGTTGTTAATAAGGCTAATGATGTGTACCCGCATGCACCCTCACTCTCACACCCTTAAACTAATATAGAAAGGTCAAAACTATTTCAGACTTAAGTTGCTTTCCAATATAAGTTATTGTCAGAGTAAAAATCTCTTTCATTTCCGTATATCGAATTCAAGTTTCTGTTTTTGGGCGCTTTATTATTTACTTTTTAATTATTGATTCCCGCTCGCTAGTCTTCATTTTCCTGCTTTATTTTCCCTAATTTAACTTCTTTATTTATCTAATCGTTGATTCAACTGCCGTATACAACTTTTGTGTATGTCGATTATATTTACAACCAATATTAATAAACAATCATATTTATTGATTAACTCACAAGCACACTGATGTTGTTAGTATGTATATCTAAATTATAATATGATCGAAGTATATTCTAATACGTTGATCTTATGACAACAATCGCAAATCGATGCATTACTCGTCATCTTTGTCAGCATCTCAATGGTAGACTTTTATTTCTATGTGATTTTTTATTTTCGTATTTTATTCTTCCAAATTTATCCTTCTTATCATTGATTTTACTGACACATGCGACTGTCGTAAATATCGATTGTATTTATAACCATTATCAATAGATAACTATATATGTTGATCTACTGACAAGTACTGATGTTATTAATATCTGTATCAAAATTATAGTATAGTCAAATTATATTCTTTTATGCTGATCGTATAAGAATTATGGCAAATCAAGGCTTTACTCTTCACCGTTATCGACATCTTAAAGATATAGTTTTACTTTATGTGGCAATCAAAAACTAGACTAGTTAAAACAGTCGGAAATATAACAAAAAATTCCATCTATCCAACTATAGAGAAAAGAATTAGAATATTTTAGACTTTTGTGAAACGGTCAAATATTTTTATTTTTATTAAATTATTATGGTCTGCAATGCGGAAGGAGGTGAAATATCTGTAATGGTAGCATGTCTGTAATGGGTATGTCTGTAACAGGGAGGAGGCAGCAAAAAATTCACCTCAAAACTTACACTCACCAATATCTTCGAAAATGCACGTGAGTTTCACAGCATAAGACTTCTAGTATTTTTGATTCGAGCACTTTAGCATTCGACAATCGTACGCATACTTTTGCGTCCTAGGTTAGTAAATATAATCTTTTATTTTTAGATTTGTAAACATGTCGCTAATCGTTGCTTTAATTATTGGAACAGGCCATGAGTTAGAAGATGAAATAGTTTATCAATTGGGAAGAAAAGGTGTATGCGTTTTATTTTGCTCAAAGAATGAAAATCAACTTGGACGGATAATAAAGACGTTAAGTGATGAAGATATCCAGCTTAAATTTGTTTTTCTCGATGCTATTGATCTTGCAACAATTGATAAAGTAATTGAACAAATTGATGTACAGTTTAAGAAATTAGATATTTTGATTAACCTTGGATTATTACTTGATAATAATCACTTTAAAATACATATTAAATTTCGTGAAGGTCTTCAAGCACAAGAGTTTTTCGATGCATTGAATGTATCACAGGCATTTATACCACTGCTTCAAAAATCTGGTTCCGGTAGTTTAGTTAATGTCTATGGTGAAATTAGCAGTGATAATGTCAGATCAAAATCATTGCGTGGTTTATTTCATGATTATTCATCAAAACGTGCATTGCATAAGTTTATGGATCAATTTGATAAGCCGTTCAGTAATACGAATATTAAGATTAGTTCTGTTGTACTTGGTGATGACTCGAATGTGCAAACCATACAACAAGAAGCCAGTCGTATCGTGGATTTGGCTATGTTGCCTTTTGTTACACCTTCAAGGTCTGCAACAATGCGTATTATTTACGGTGTAGTTGGTGAAGGAATGGGGCATGCAACAAGATCCAAAGTTACTTTGGAAAAGCTTATGAAAGAACAACATCATGTCAAAGTGGTGGTGAGTAATCGTGCATACAAGTTTCTTCATGATAGTTTTTCGAATCGATTCCCACGGTGTGATACAGCTAGTGAAGGTGAAGCAGCTATCGATATAGTTGAAATTGAAGGCTTAACAATGCAATATGTTGATAATGTATTTAATGAAAAAGCTTCAGTAGTACATACAATGCAACGTTTGCCTAATATACTTGACAAAAATCTTGGTGCATATTATCGAAATTTGGTTCATTGGAAACCTCAGGCAGTTATTAGTGATTTTGACAGTTTTGCGTACCTGTTTGCTAAAGCACATGGACTACCAATTTTGTCGATCGATAATCAACACGTTGTGCAACGGTGTTTCATTACAGAAGAAGCAAGAGAATCAGATCCAAAAGCATTCCTTGCTTACAAAGGCTTTGTTAAAGCGAAACTTCCACGGTGTGATTATTATATCATTACAGGTTTCTTTACTCCAGAAATTCGTGAAAAATACAAATCTAAAACGATGCTCGTTCCGCCTATTCTTCGTCAGCTGATTATCGACGCAAAACCACTACCTGCTGAACAAGGTGAACATTTTCTTGTTTACCAAAGTAGCAAAAGTGACATGTCTCTTATCCCTATTTTGCAAGCATTTGGTGAAAAGTGTGTTATTTATGGACTTGGTCGCGAGGAAAAGATTGGCAATTTAGAATTTAAAGGTTTTTCCGAACAGGGATTTGTGGATGATTTGGCACGCGCCAAAGGTGTAATTGCTAATGGTGGACTTTCTCTTATGAATGAAGCAGTAAGCTTACAGCGACCTTTTCTCAGCGTACCGATCGAGAATCAGTATGAACAAGTACTCAACGCGTGGTATTTGGAAAAGCTAGGTTATGGAGTCTTTGCGAACAAGATAGAGCTTGAAGTACTTCAAAAGTGGGCAAAAAACATTCCACAGTATGCAGCAGCGCTTTCAAACTACCATCATGATTCAAATATGCAGTTGTACAAAACGGTAAAAAGAGTTTTGGAAGAATTCAACGGACGCTTTATATGGTGGGATCCACGGAAGATTTTCAAATGAAAATCGTCTTTTCGACTTCCATCCCACGTAACTGCTAATGTCAACAATTAACAAGATTAACCGAATTTATTTTAGTATAAAACGTATGTATCGTACTTTATCTTAAAACATCGAAAGAACTGCGTGCAGCATTCGAAACAGGATTCAGCACTCATCGAAGCGGTTCACTTTTCCTAGATTTTTCAATTTTCATGAACAAAATCAAGAGTGTGGGTGTGTATCATAAGAAAGAAGCCAAGACTAGTTTCGACCTCTCTCAAGGGTCCCGTCACGTAGCTTTAACTCTGCATTATCTTAAATGTTCAACTTAAAAGAAAAGAATACTTTCAAGATTGAAACATTGTTTGGCGTTGAGTTGGCGAAATAATTTTTCGTGAAATGAATGTGCCCTGAAAGCATTGCTGGGGTTGTGTTCGTAGGGAATGTAAGGTCGATCAATTCAAGAACAGAAGGTGAGTCAGAAGAAAACAGATCGATCTATATCAATACTAAAGATACCAGTCAATCTGCTATTCCCAACTCTTGCTTCGCTACAATCGATTGTCTGTCTATGTAATATACTATTTGAACAAGTAACACAGCGTGAACGCTGCAAACCCTCTACTGAAAGGATGTTCTTTCATTAATCTGAACTCGTAAAGATCACAGAAATAATATGCAAATTCATTCTTGACTGATCTCAGCTAAAAATGTATTTGCTCTGCAGTATTCTCGTTGTGATAAACTACAAAAGAGAAAACTAAGATGGTAAACAAGAAGTGATAAACACCTTGTATGATCAAATCAGTATTGAAGTTAAACAATTACAATTATTTCGATCGAGAGTTTTGTGTGCAATGAAATTTTCGACTACGCCAATGCTGAACTATGACCAATGAAGTCTTTCCGTCAGAATGAAATGTTAAGTTCGTGTTGCGACTACAGAAGAAGAGAAATATATCGATGTATACCAAGTCATCGAGAAGAAGATGAAAGTACTCACTTCGTTGTTCGATTCGTGATTAATAATAGCATGCCAGATACATGTTCAGGGCGAATACTTCGGCGCAAAACCAAGGGTGTGGGTATGGGTGTGGGTGCCGGTGTGGGTGTGGATGGGTGTTGGTGTGGGTGTGAGTATGGGTATGGGTGTGGGTGTGGGTGCCGGTGTGGGTGTGGGTGTGGATGGGTGTGGGTGTGGATGGGTGTGGGTGTGGGTATGGGTGTGGGTGTGGGTGTTGGTGTGGATATAGAAGAGCACTTCACAGACACCGACACTCACACCCACACCCACACCCCACACCCACACCCACACCCACACTCACATCCACACTCACACCCACACCCTCAGCATCTGCACCTGCACCTGCACTCTTACATCCACATACATGCCCCAGCCCACACCCTAATAAAATTCTGAATAATATCGACGAAAGTAATAATCCATAGAGTTCAGTTATTGAATATCATCATCTTGTTTGATAATTCATTTTTAACGTGCTGATTATGTGGAACCATTCTTATTTCATACTAATACATATTTACGAAATCTCATTGATCTTATTATTTCGTATGATCATTGAGTAACTGTAACAGAGAATTTTAAACGTGATGTAACTCGTCATAATTGTTCCAAGGTACAAACCTTAACATTTACTACATGTACCATTACAGTACATTCAAAGGACTTTTATTTACACTTTCCTTGTTTGAAATGTTTTCTGATAAATTCTTCAATCAAATCTTGCTTCATTCCCAATTGACACGACATACAAAAACAAATCAAGGACTTTTAGGAAAGTCGTCCGCTTAAAGAAAATGCTTTATTTAGAGATCATTCTTTTCCAAATCGGACTACTAAAATGTATGAATCACAGCTTTAGGTTTGATTTTCATGAGGTTGAAATTAATTATAAAATATTTATTACAAATTATCATAAAAAACTGTCAAGATTAAAGAAGTCACAGAGATAGTATTGAATATTTTTTAGTTACAATATTCGGCCGATCAAAGAATTCAATAAACGAACCAACTACCTAACTGATGAACAATGACTTCTAAATTTCATACTTTTAATGTACCTTGATGTGCTAATGTTTGACTTTTTTTCTGCAGATTTTGCTGATAAAAATGTTTATTTGAGTTCTGAGAAACTTTCATCATATTCACAAACTCAATCAGTATCTTTTTTAGCTACTATAAATACTTTTTCATATCTTGTTAATATAATAACAATACTGTTTGTTGTCTGTCTTTTTTTTAAAATTTTCTTCCTTTTTTTTTGTATTTCTATACTACCTTATAGAACTTCCAATACATATGGATGTAACAAAATTCATGATGGCAAGCTTCTTTGTTGAATGTTTATTAACTGTCTAACATAGACTTGACATATTTACTCTTTCCCTTTGACAGCAACATCTATAAATCGCTAAGCGATTCAAGCTTTTAATTTAAATTACTAAACTCTGTTGAAATTTATAATCGGACATCGTCAATAATTAGAAATATAACGTTGTAGATGTGCGTGTTTGTGACACGAAGAGGCACACCCACACCTTAATTGTTAAGATTATGGTCATGCATTCGATGTCAGAATGTGTCTGTCGAGTAGTAAAAATTGACTTGCTAAAACAGACTGTTTTCAACGATCTTTTTTTCGCGTAGTATTAGAATTTTAGTTAGATGAGAGTAACAAGCAATATTTTTTCCAGTACAAAAGAAATAGCCTATACAATGAAAATTGTCTGTCTATTAAAGAGATCTATCCACATGAAAAAATTCAAATAAATTCTCCTTTCTTATGGAATAGTAATTATAATTAAAAAAATTGCTCATGCATCGTTTCACGAAATAGGATTATATATATATTTCACACTGAAATATACAAGCTGGCTTACAAAAAGCACTGTGATTAGAAAAAATGAAATCTCTCTGAATCAAATGATCTGATTTCTTGATTAATAGTATAAATTTATTCAATGTTTTTGTTTTCATGCGAATAAGGCAATCGAACACTGCTGTTAAGTATAATTATTGGTATCATAAAGGTAATACTACGAGTTCGCCAAATAAAAACAAATAAGAAAAGCAAGTTTTGAAAAAATAGTTAGTGCAAAAGTGAACGGTTATCAAATTTCGAATTTTCAAACACTGAACATTGGTTTTGAAAGAAAGTTGCTGTGTTTTTGTGCTCAATAAACTGCGATTGTGGGTTTTAAGTATGGGACATGAGTTTCAGCATTGGGACTGATTATGGTTGAAAAATTGTTCTACGTGTATCGATCCACAATGATTTATTAACTTCGTTTTAACTTGTTCTTACTATAGCTTATTCTATGTTGACTTGTTCGGAATTCACAAGCAAGATCAAATTTTGAGCATTTCTAGCGAGCAATATTCAACAGATATACATATGATTATGCAACATTTTCATCGGCTTCGACAGTTTACTGTTCGTTCAAACAATATTCGAAACTATGTATGTTATTCTTCAAAAGTTGAGATATCGAAAATGTCATCCACTAGTAAAAAATGACATATATACAGATAAGATAGAATGAATTGTGCGTTGAGTAGACACTAGGATTGTGTAGAAGCATTAGTTTTGCTGACCAACGACCATGCCGACTCAGGAGGGAAGATCCACAATTGATGCACACTGTTTTCAAACATATGTTGGAGATATTATTTTAAGAAAAGTTCTAAGAATGTTTTGGTCGATGGAATTTCTCTCGACGGTTATGACCAATTCAATGATTCTTCCATATAGTAGAAGTCGCATAGGTCAAAGTGGACTCGAATACAGCTCTCTTTATTCGACTGAGCAACAAACTCTTCATGCAATCTAAAATATGATCGATACAACTGACTTCCGTGTGTATCGTGTATGATCTCTACATCTTGCATTTTTACCAACGGCATCGATCTCTTTGCGCAAAAAGTCTGCTAGATCAAGCATCTTTTGTATTTCATTTAAAAACATCAGGATGTAGGTGTGGGCGTTATTGATGAATGCAAACAAAACCGACACTCACCCCAACACACTGAGATGGAGAACATAATCGATCATCTTTTCAATTCACTGCAGACTGTGAACAGCTCAAACCAGGTCCTATTGAAACGTTCGCATACAAGTAGCAATAACATTATAAAACATTCTCTTGCATTTACCATAATTATCGTTCAGGGACAACTAGTAAGAATTTGGAACTATCAAAACACTTCATTAGTGATATGTTTGTTTTGTTTGCTAATTGGAAATAACGGAGGGATTGAAAAAACGACTGATTGCAAAATTAAAGTGTATAGAACGAAAATTTGACCAAAACCTATTTGTTGAAAATTGTCGGTTTTAGACAAATGTGCTTCATCGGAGATTCTACAGCAATGAATGCTGATCATATACGTAAAAATATGCAAGACTCTAGAGAACTCGAAGGCGAATCTTTGAACACTGGAAAACTGTACGGAAAATACTGAGAACCTCACTCTTAAAGATGGATCCGTTGGGTTAATGTTTCCCACTGCGCACTGGGCAGCTGTGAAAGAAAAGTGATGGAGATGTTCGTAAATCACTGCAAACGTTTCGACTGAGTCATACGACAGTCAATGTGAAAATGCCTCTGGCGTAGTACAAGTAGAGTTTTTTTCATTTTCTTATCCTCCAACGTTATCGATAACATACAAGGTAGTTTTTTTTCTTTCAATTCTTTACTCACGACAGTCGTGAAAAGCAAACATCGTTCATTTCTCTCTCGCTTCTCTTCGTCGCTTATGTAAAATGCGAGACGTGATCAACAGTTTCTTATTTATTTTTTTCTTCAGGAGAGTATTGCTGCTTTTTGATGAAAAAATTAATTCTTGGTGACGACTTCACTTACAGAGAAATACGCAGTGTTTAGTAATAAACTCATTTTACAGGGATCGTTGTGAGTGAGCGTGAGGCGGACGTAGGTCTGCTCTTCATAACTACATGCACACATATTGAAAGTAAAAAGGATACGACACGAAACTGACTATAATCAAGACAGTATTATTTCGTTTATGCATCTTTGCTTGAAGACCTAGTCCAATATGCTTAGAAATCTGTCTGACAATCCGTACCTTATGTGCTATCTCGTATGTATGTTTGCAACTATTTAGTCTTAGAACTATTTTTTTACAAGATCTCTTTCGATATTCCTGCAGCTCTCTATCTACTCATTTCTATGTCTAAACATTAATATCTATTATTAATCCCTTATTTCGTTGCCTAAACATTTATGTCTATCCACAGTGATGTACTACCAACCCCTTATTGCTATACACTGGAAAAAGACATACGACACCGAAATATTTCGTTGCAAAAATCGAAACGTTTCTAGGTTCCGTACCGTATTAAAAAACATTTTTGAGTTTGTACCAAGCACGAAACCCAATTGTGGCTCGAGATGGCACCATACTTTTTTGCAGTGCACACCCATGCCCACACCCTACACACGGAAAAAACTTTTCTGAAATCTGTGATAATAGTTGAGCGCACGGCTTCTAAGAACGAAAGTCAAAACTAACAACTTCTTTATTCTAGAAAGCTCTGCATCCAACAGAATATAGATTCTACGAGACAAGTATTGCATTTATTTTGCCTTCCAAATGCAAATGGCGAAGAAAAGTTCAAACCATCCACATATAATGAAACGCATTGGACAAGATGAACAGAATAGTAACAAATGCCTTCGAGAATCTCGATTCATGGATAATGCAATAAGTCCTAAAATGCCATTCAATGAAACTGGAGAATGCATTGCTTATTTCGTCCGTGAAGCGTCTAAAAATACCAACCTGTACAATATAGGCACATTAAAAGCTCGTTTTCCCGAAATACTCGAACGAGCAGCAAGTGGTTTGATTGCTGAGGGTGAACTGGTAGGATGTAGAGAAGAAGCAGAGCTGATGGCTGATCAATTGCGAAAGCTAACCAAATGCAACTTCAAAGATGCTGGTGAATGTTGTGCTCGCTTATATGCAATGGAAAGTTTTCTTTATCGAAAACTCAACGAAGTGATGCGGCTAGTGGGACAAGATGAACAAGAACATATATGGAAAAGAAAGCTTGATACTTTTGGCCCTTTCGCATTTCTTTTACAAAACTACATGCTAACCGTATCCCTTCGTCCTAATCTAACTATATACCGTGGGGCAAATCTATCGACCGAGACAGTCCAAAGTTTTAGGGATGCAATCGACAAAGGGTATCGTTCTTTTCAAGCATTCACATCTGGCAGCCGGAATCGAGCCAAAGCAGAACATTGAACCGTTCAAAAACTGTGTTATACATGAGTGCGCACTATGCTCAAAACAACATTGCGGGATATATTATAATCAAATAAACTTTAATTTGGCAATGTTTTATTTATCATGACTCTAGATTATGCCTATTCGATTGATATGGCCCCATTCTCAAGTTTTCCCGAAGAAGAAGAACAACTTCTCTATCCCGGTTCTACCTTCATAATTAAGTCAGTCGAATCCAATGCACAAACGAGAAAACATCTGATTTATCTATCCATAAGATAACCAACTGTCTTGAATCGAATCCAATACTCCAATATTGGTCATAGATATTTGCTTGAAATACAGCACTCCTGAAATGTTCACAACGATCCGTTGTCCTCTCAATACTCTGACATTGTTTGTGTGCAAAGCAGTTATATTTTAGGGTACTCCTTTAGCAGGTGTTCCACTTCATCGTTATCCTCACTGCTATTGCACTGCCTTCCGTCAATGTGGACCACCAGCTAAAAGATTACCCATTTCGAAGATGCAGAATCATCCAATATGTGATGAGCTTAGAAAAAGAAATGTTTAGATGATGTTGATCGATTTATTTCACGTCTTCACATTATAATTTGTATTCTTCGCATTTTATAGAGTACATTCCCTGATCAAAGAAAAAAACTGATAGTCAAACTTGAAGCTCAAACGAAAAGAGAGCAGATATACGATCAATATAGAAAAAATTTTGTTTACACGAACTGAGACTGTGTTGACCTATATCTGTCGGCATGACAGTGTATTTTGCCGTTTATGAATCTGTACCAATGTTCTTCCTTCTTTTATATAACCCTATGAGGCATTGTACGTAAGCTGTGAAGGCTGATAGTTTTATAGTAGGTAGCCCTAACAAAGTTAGGAAGAAATTGAAAATTTCAGCTGAAACGGATGAGCCATTCTGGATATATAGAATATACCAGTCTGATGGGATGAGGTCTATTTGCAATACGTTTCAGTAATTTTTCATTTTCAAAGCAACAATAAGAGCTAGAACAAATATATTTTTTACCATAAATGTTATCGATGACGGGGCTACCTTTTGATGGTATTGAAAGTGTGTTATTGTCGAACCATTTTTGCTTGATATCCTATGTCATGTTCAAATGATAGAACCCCAGTGTTCAGGACCATTTATTGAAATCAGCGTCATGGAAAATGTCAAGAATAATCTGATTTGAAAGAGCACCTCAAACTGCAACAAATGACGTTTTCAAAAGTTTGACTTTTTGAATTTTAGTGTAGAAAATGTTTTCAACAATATTTGATATTGTTAAGAAAAAATCGCTTGGAAAAAATAGTGTAATCGATATTTTTAATATACTATTATAAGAATTTAACATATTCAGACAAGTAATTATATGCGTCGACAGCGCGTGAAATTCTCTACAATCTTATATATAATTTTAGAATTGCAGTTGTTTGGTAAAACTAATTTCTAACATAGTTAATCCATTGCTATCGTCATCTTCTTCCGAAAAGTATACTTTGTGGTTGTGGGTTGGAATGCGAGAGTTTGTCGAATCACCATGATGCTACTGAGCCTCACACATCCACATTCACTCCCTGAACAATTGATCAATCATCAATATAGCTACATTATATTATATGAAAACGGTTTCATAATTGGCGAGTTTCATTTCATTTCATTTCGAACATACGCTTTACTAGGTATAGAATTACAGAGTCTTGGTCAGATGATTGTATTTAGACAAGAAAGATGTAGTGGCGGATCTAGGATTATTGTGATATGGAGCGATTCAACAAAAATGGCGGTGGGGTTACGATCATACAAGGGTGTGGGTGTCGGTGCGTGTGAGGTGTGGGGTGTTGGTGGGTGTGGGTGGGGTGTGCGTGTGCGTGTGCGTGTGAAAATAAGGCAACACACACACACACACACACACACACATACCCACACCCTACACCCACTCATACCCACACCCACCCCACCCACACCCCCACCCTTTCGAAGCTAGTGCACCCTATCTCATTAAAGAAGCACTGAGAACACTTCGAAATGATTGGGAACTTTATTATTTGGCACACAGTCATGTATACTGTATAAAAGTTCTTCCAAATAATACATGCAAAGCAAGCTTTTTGTACTGCACAACTGCCTATGTTGTTCGTAATTCCATAGTAGCAAGAAAATTAATCAAGTGGTCTTATTCACCACATGGAGGAGAGGCTGATGGAACTTTGCTTGTATATATGCGCGATGGTTCACTTATAGCATATGTTGCACATCCAAATCATATTGCCTGGCAAGACAGAAACAGTTGGGGCACTGATATATCACAATCAGGACCAATTGCACTTGCATATTTTCGAAATCGATTATCAAAGATATTAAAAGTATAAATCTATGCATCGTAGCGAAGATTGCTACAGTCAATGTTGTGTTCTTATTTCCTCTTTATTATAGCGAAATTCTACGTGAGTGTGGAGAAATTGAAGATTAAGACCAACACCCACACCTTTTATTCTTATGTAACATTTTTGTACGTACATAGAAGGAATCCTTTTTTGCATTTTTCGATTTCAGTTTTCATGTAGCAACCATCATTTTTACTATGACTTTTCATTTTTCTGTGGAATAAAGAGATCAATAAATAAATAGTTAGTTTCGGAATTTGGTTATCACTGAACTCACTTATCATTATTCCATAGTATTTATGCTATAGTTGATCTCAATATTCAAATGAATGTGAAAGTTGAATAGTTTTTATGAAGACTCGAATTCTTTTATATTTTCATTCTGCTGTGGAGTTACAAAGTAAAGCATTTTTGGATAAAATTGAAAATTTTACTTAAAATTAATATTTTCGACACCAATCGAATCGTTGGCCAAACCTCATATTACAAGTTTTACTTTTTATTATTGCACACACATGAAAGAACATAAGGTATACAGACAGACTTATTTGCAGGAGTCGATCATGGACAGTACAGAAGGAGAAAGACCTTAACAAGAAAAAAGCATGGTAATAAAAATGAAATTTATGGTTGTTATCTGTATACAACACTTGAAAAATTTATCTGTAGAGAAAAAAATATTCAATAGTGTAGTTTTAAGTGTTCGTCAAAAGGATAACGATCTTTTTATTGTAGACACATATTGTTTATTAAAAGAAGAAGGTAAGTAGTAACTTGTTTTTAATATTTACTTTTTAACAAAAGTCCCGATGCAAAGAAATATATTGCGTTGCTTTTGTTTTTTATAAAGAATGCATTAGTCTTTGTTAAGATGACTTTGGCATGTCCTTCTTGAATTACGTTTACTGGATAAAAGTTTAGTGGTTTAAATACAAAGTAACCTCTTTGTAATTTTACCTGAAGTAGAAAGTTCTCTTTCTGAAAAATTTTATGGTATGAATGAATATAATTATAGCAATGAAATTCTATTCAAAGGTCCATTGCTGATAAATAATAGTCAATAATAAAAAAAATTAGTATGATTGCAATTGCACGAATTCGTTTAGGACAATAGTTTTCAATTCTCAACGCGAAATATACGAAATGATTTATTGTTTCTCTGCATAAAAGAAAATTTGCACAACAATTTGAGACAGCTAATCTTGGAACTTCAATAGACGAGCCAACAAGAAGACAACAATTTAGAATAATCATTTATTTGAAAAACGCACATTAATCGGCAGTAACCCATCAAAGTCTTTGTCCAATGTTGGCATTACCAGTGGATATTGTCTACCGAATCCTGGATTGTCTTGATATTTTCACAATTTTATGCTCAGTTCGAAATTCTTGCAAAAGACTTCACGTGATAACTGACACATATAATCGATACGCGGTGAGTTTTGTTGTTTTTTTTTCAAAACATTAAGTTCAAAAGATGATTCCACTGTTTTTTTTATTGTTTATTTTTGGTAAGATTGTAAAATACCAAAAATGTTGACTATTATTCCATAAGAAATGTACGAGATGACGACTTAGATCACGATGCGGTATCTTTGTGTTTGAAAGTTCAATTATACTAGCTAATTCTGTAAGAAAAAAAACAAAGATCCTTTAAGAAATCGGAAAAAAAACAAATTGAATTCTGTAAAACATGAAGGAGATATCTGCACAAATAGTTATTGCCTTTCTTCAGAAAGATATTTCATTGAGTATGATTCATTTGATCACTTTTCTGAACTGCACAAAAAGATTAAATAATAAATATTTTTTTTCTACCCATCTGGCACAGGTAATTGTTGCGTCCCTTTTCGTACATGTATCAGTTAATCCCATTAATGAGAAGCAAATCATTAATTTCCCAGTATCTCACTAAAAAAATCCAACAAACGTCAAAATCAAATCTTTTGATTGACAGCAAATGTTGTTCAAAAAAAAAACTAAGTTATTTAAATGAAAAAATTCTAGAATTTTCTATGATGAAATATTCAAATATCATGATGGAGATGAGTATCAAACAGAGCTCGTTAAGTTTTATTATAGAATAGAAATTCATGACATGATTTATTCTTTGGCTAAATCTTACCAGATTTTACAGAAGAGACCTGTTTTGTTGCCGGTTTCAGCATTTTCCTAAAGATTTTTTCATCGAATTGGACGACCAAGAGAAAAGTAGCTGATTAGAATCAGTAATCGTTAACAATTATAAAAATAAGTTTTATTGAATCATGATTATCATTGTATCAGATGTCCAGACATCACTGTATTCCATTAGCGGCTACTCAAAATATTGGAAGAGAATCATTGGCAATTAACGAAAATCCTGACTATCCGAAGAATAAGTTTTCTTTTTAGAAAATAATACTTATGACAACAGTAATTACTACTATGTGTACGGATAAAAATGACGAGAATATTTATCAAAAAACGGATTTCTTATGTGGTGATGAAGAAGGAGTTGACAGTCACTTTTTTTACTCCTTTCGGACGATTAATTACGCTATTCTACCTGGATTTTCAACAGAAAAATAAACATACACTAGACTTAGCACGGTTATTTGTCGTTTTCAGTTTACCAAGCCATTTTATCTGCCCTCCCTCTCCTGTAAACTACATGTTTATATATATATCGAAAAACTTAGTACAGACATCTTTTATTGATTTCGTTCAATTAAATTAATCTTATCCTTTCCTATATTTGAATCTTCATTCAATATTATGTAAAAGAAGTTACGTTTTCAAACGAGATGAAAAATATTCGTCAATGTGAAATATACTAAAAGCGAAGACGAAAAACAAAAGTGATCATCTTGTGGATCTACCAAGAAATAACATGCTGCATCTCCCTCAATATTCATCTATCTTGTGTCTGCAACTGCACTTTTTCATACAGACACTGACGATACTCGATATGTCTGGAAAATCTCTCACAAATCAAAACAAACAATGTCTCGCCGAAGCATTGCGATATGATAAAGTACCGTTATTCTATTTTCATCACGAGGGGAAACGCAAGATTTCTCTGTGCTCTATCCGAGTCTATTGCAATCAACCTATATTAAAGCAAACTGAAATGTTGTAGAAGTACAGATGAAGTCTGCACTCTTGAAATCTTGCGATGTCTCCGTGATTTTTGTTTTCATCAATATTTTTTCATCTAGACATTTGTCACACTCGATCTATCGAGTATTTACTTAGGACGTGACTCCGTACAACAATTTTCTGATATGCTAAAAAATAACACGGTGATACACGTCCTATTTTGATCTATCTCATGTGAGCAGTTGTATACTTTTTCACACAGACACTGACTACATTGGATCTCCGATGCGATAGAATCAATGAAAACGAAGCTCAACTATTCGCTGATGCATTACGAAATAATAAAGTAATCCTCGTTTTCTCTTCATCTATTTCACATTCTCATCGAGAACATTTTTGCGCACAGGTACTAACTACACTAAGTCTTAGCTACAATGAAATAGGTGACAAAGGAGCTATAGAATTGGCCAAATCATTACAAAATAACTGGGTAATTAGGATTTCATTTCCATCTATCCCACTTTCTTATTTGTACGTTACAGACATTAATGACAATTCACCTCGCGTCGAATAAAATCGGTAAACAAGGAGCTCGGCAATTAGCTGATGCATTACGAAATAATAAAGTGATTCGCATTCCGCCTTCATCTATGTGATATCTCCATCTATATTTTTTCATACAGACACTTTTGACACTTGATCTTCGATGGAATAAAATCGAGAAAGAAGGAGCTCAACAACTAGCTCATGCATTAAGATGTAATACGGTAACACTCACTCTATATTCATCTATCATGTAATATTATCAGTACTTCTTTAAACAGACGCTAACTACACTTCAGGTTAGTGGAAATGAAATCGGCAATGAAGGGGCGAAAGAATTTGCTGATGCATTACGAACTAACACGGTAACTTTCATTCCATCATCATTTATCACACATTTCTATATATACTTTCTCACATAGACACTCACTACACTGGAACTCCAAAACAATCAAATCAAAGCTTTCGGAGCAGAACATTTGGCTAATGTATTGCAAACTAACACAGTGACTATTATTCTATCACCATCAATCTGATATTCTCATTTGCAACTTTTCATACAGACACTAACTTCACTAAATCTTCGACGAAATCAAATCAAAGCCGTTGGAGCAGAATACTTGGCTAATTCATTACGAACAAATACAGTGATTACCATTACATCACCATCAATCTTATATCTCCATTTGCAATTTTTTCCCTGCAGACACTCACTACACTAAGTATCGGAGAAAACGAAATCGGAGCTATTGGAGTGGAGCATTTGATTAATGCATTACAGCATAACAAGGTGATGCTTACTGCATCTTCATCTGTCTTACTTTTTCATTTGCAATTTTTCATATAGACACTCACTGAATTAGATATTCACAGAAACGACGTGGAAGAGGAATGTGCTGAACATCTGGCTAATATATTACGAAATAATAAAGTGATTTTCACTCTATCCTCATTTATCTCTTATACTCATCTGTACGTTTTTGCATAGACTATCACGACGCTCGATTTTTCTTATAACAGTATCCGAGCTCTCGGAGCACACCATATAGCTAACGTATTACGAGAAAACACAGTGACGTTTATTCATTCTTTATCTGTATCAAATTCTCATTTGCAATTTTTCATATAGACACTCACTACACTAGATATGGGAGGAAATCATATCGGAGAGGAAGGAGCACAACATGTGGCTAATGCATTACGAAATAATACAGTAACAG